ACTTGGGACAGGTGAGGGACACACCTGGGGACACCTGGGATACACCTGGGGACACCTGGGATACACCTGGGGACACCTGGGCACACCTGGGGACACCTGGGGACATCTCTGGGGACACCTGGGTCACACCTGAGTCACACCTGAGTCACACCTGGGTCACACCTGAGTCACACCTGTGTCACCTGGGTCACACCTGTGTCACACCTGTGCACACCTGTGTCACATCTGGGGTCACACCTGGGTCACACCTGTGTCACACCTGTGTCACACCTGGGTCACACCTGGGTCACACCTGGATAACACCTGTGTCACACCTGTGTCACACCTGGGGGTACTTGGGTCACACCTGGACACACCTGGGGACACCTGGGGACATCTCTGGGGACACCTGTGTCACCTGTGTCACACCTGAGTCACACCTGTGTCACACCTGTGTCACCTGCAGGGCAAGCACTGCATCCTGGACGTGTCGGCCAACGCCGTGCGGCGCCTGCAGGCGGCTCAGCTCCACCCGATCGCCATCTTCATCCGGCCCAAATCCCTGCAGAACGTGCTGTGAGTCACCTGGGCACACCTGGGGACACCTGGGGACACCTGGGAACACCTGGGGACACCTGGGGGCACTGGGGATACACCTGGGGACACCTGGGGGCGGCTCAGCTACACCCGATCGCCATCTTCATCCGGCCCAAATCCCTGCAGAACGTGCTGTGAGTCACCTGGGGACACCTGGGCACACCTGGGGACACCTGGGGACACCTGGGGACAGCTGGGGACACCTGGGCACACCTGGGGACACACCTGGGGACACCTGGGAACACCTGGGGACACCTGGGGACACACCTGGGCACACCTGAACACACCTGAACACACCTGGGCACACCTGGGCACACCTGGGGGCACTGGGGATACACCTGGGGACACCTGGGGACACCTGGGGACACACCTGGATACACCTGGGACACACCTGGGCACACCTGGGACACACCTGGATACACCTGGGACACACCTGGGATACACCTGGGGACACCTGGGACACACCTGGGCACACCTGGGCACACCTGGGGACACACCTGGGGACACCTGGGCACACCTGGACACACCTGCCTTGCGGGTGTGGCCAGGCGAGGTGGCCATATATGGTGTGGTGGGCGTGGCCAGGTGTGATGGGCGTGTCCTGGGATTCCATATAAGGGTTTGTGGGCATGGCCAGTTGAAGTGGGTGTGGCCATGTGAGATGGGCGTGTCCCATGAAGCCATATAAGGACTTGTGGGTGTGGCCATTCACAGTGGGTGTGTCCTAACACTCCATATAATGGTTTGTGGGCGTGGCCAATGGGGGCGTGTCCCATGATTCCATATAAGGGTTTGTGGGCGTGGCCAGTCTCGGCTTATCCCAATATGCCATATACGGATTTGTGGGTGTGGCCAGTGGGGGCGTGTCTCAGGATTCCATATAAGGGTTTGTGGGCGTGTACAGTACCAGTGGGCGTGTCCTGGGAGTCCATATAACGGTTTGTGGGCGTGGCCAGTGGTGTTGGGGGGGTGTGCCCCAGGATTCCATATAAGGGTTTGTGGGCGTGTCCAATACCAGTGGGCGTGTCCTGGGAGTCCATATAAGGGTTTGTGGGCGTGGCCAGTGGGAGGGATGTCCCAGGACTCCATATAAGGATTTGTGGGTGTGGCCAGTCACAGTGGGCGTGTCCTAGGAATCCATTTAAGGGTTTGTGGGCGTGGCCAGTGCCAGGGGGCGTAGCCTGGAATTCCATATAAGGGTTTGTGGGTGTGGCCGGGGCGTGTACCAGGATTCCATATAAGGATTTGTGGGCGTGGCCAGTGGGGGTGTGTCTCAGGATTCCATATATGGGTTTGTGGGCATGTCCAATACCGGTGGGCGTGTCCTGGGAGTCCATATAAGGGTTTATGGGTGTGGCCAGTGGGGGCGTGTCCCATGATTCCATATAAGGGTTTGTGGGCGTATCCAATACCAGTGGGCGTGTCCTGGGAGTCCATATAAGGGTTTGTGGACGTGGCCAGTGCCGAGGGCGTGTCACAGGATTCCATATAAGGATCTGTGGGCGTGGCCAGTGGGGGTGTGTCTCAGGATTCCATATAAGGGTTTGTGGGCGTGTCCAATACCTGTGGGCATGTCCTGGGAGTCCATATAAGGATTTGTGGGCGTGGCCAGTGGGGGTGCATCTCAGGATTCCATATAAGGGTTTGTGGGCGTGGCCAGTGGGGGTGTGTCCCATGATTCCATATAAGGGTTTGTGGGCATGTCCAATACCGGTGGGCGTGTCCTGGGAGTCCATATAAGGGTTTGTGGGCGTGGCCAGTGCCCGGGGCATGTCACAGGATTCCATATAAGGATTTCTGGGTGTGGCCAGTGGGGGGCATGTCTCAGGATTCCATATAAGGGTTTGTGGGCGTGGCCGGTGCCAGTGGGGGCGTGTCCCAGGATTCCATATAAGGGTTTGTGGGCGTGGCCGGTGCCGGGGGGCGTGTCCTGGGATTCCATATAAGGGTTTGTGGGCGTGTCCAATACCAGTGGGCGTGTCCTGGGAGTCCATATAAGAGTTTATGGGCGTGGCCAGTGGGGGCATGTCCCATGATTCCATATAAGGGTTTGTGGGCGTGTCCAATACCAGTGGGCGTGTCCTGGGAGTCCATATAAGGGTTTGTGGGCGTGGCCAGTGGGGGTGTGTCTCAGGATTCCATATAAGGGTTTTTGGGCGTGGCCGGTGCCGGGGGGCGTGTCCCGATGTGGCCCCGCCCCCCAGGGAGATCTCCAAGCGCGTGAGCGAGGAGCAGGCGCGGAAAGCGTTCGACAGAGCCACCAAACTGGAGCAGGAGTTCACCGAGTGCTTCTCAGGTGAGAGCCCAAAACTCACCTGGGGGGGCCGAAATCACACCTGGGGGGGCCAAAATACACCTGGGACACCCAAAATTACACCTGGGAGGTCCAAAAACTCACCTGGGACACCCCAAATACACCTGGGGGGTCCAAAAACTCACCTGGGGGGGCCAAAATCACACCTGGGACACCCCAAATACACCTGGGACACCCAAAAACTCACCTGGGGGGGCCAAAATCACACCTGGGACACCCCAAATACACCTGGGGGGTCCAAAAACTCACCAGGGGGGGCCGAAATCACACCTGGGGGGGCCTGAAATACACCTGGGGGGTCTGAAATACACCTGGGACACCCAAAATTACACCTGGGGGGGTCCAAAAACTCACCTGGGGGGGCCGAAATCACACCTGGGGGGTCTGAAATACACCTGGGGGGTCTGAAATACACCTGGGACACCCAAAATTACACCTGGGGGGGTCTGAAATACACCTGGGACACCCCAAATACACCTGGGGGGTCCAAAAACTCACCTGGGGGGTCCGAAATCACACCTGGGACACCCCAAATACACCTGGGACACCCAAAAACTCACCTGGGGGGGCCAAAATCACACCTGGGACATCCCAAATACACCTGGGGGGTCCAAAAACTCACCTGGGGGGGCTGAAATCACACCTGGGGGGTCTGAAATACACCTGGGGGGTCTGAAATACACCTGGGACACCCCAAATACACCTGGGACACCCAAAAATTCACCTGGGACACCCAAAATTACACCTGGGACACCCAAAAATTCACCTGGGACACCCAAAATACACCTGGGGGGTCTGAAATACACCCGGGGGGGGTCTGAAATACACCTGGGGGGGCCAAAAACTCACCTGGGACACCCAAAATTACACCTGGGGGGGTCTGAAATCACCTGGGACACCCAAAATTCACCAAAAATCCCCCAAAATCCACGTTTTTTTCACATTTAAACACCTTTACCCCCCCCAAAAAACTCCTCAAAAATTCCCAAAAAATCAAAAAAAATTCCAAAAAATTCCAAAAAAATCCCAAAAAAATTCCAAAAAATTCCCAAAAAAATTCCAAAAAAAATCCCAAAAAATTCCAAAAAAAATCCCAAAAAATTCCAAAAAAAATCCCAAAAAATTCCAAAAAAATCCCCAAAAAAATTCCCAAAAATTCCCATTTTTTTTCCCCCTCCCAGCCATGGTGGAAGGCGACAGCTTCGAGGAGATTTACCACAAAGTCAAACGAGTCATCGAGGACCTTTCAGGACCTTTCATTTGGGTCCCGGCCCGCGAACGGCTTTAGGGGGAGGGAGGGGTC